TGAAGCAAAGCTCATTCTGTACAAAACCTGTGTGAGGCCACTACTAGAATACTGTCCATTTATTATTAGCAGCACTCACACACGTGAAAAGCTAAGAATTGAAAGTATCCAACGATATTTTACCTCGAAACTACTAGGCTACGAATGTAAGAAAGACTACATCTCACGTTGCATGATTCTACAACTTGACCCACTCTGGACAAGATGACTAATTATAAACCTAGTATTCTTCTATAAGGTCCTACACAAAATATCATTCTCAGACATTAAGGACATACAATTCGCGCAAGAAGGCTCTTACGATCTGCGTAACCAAAATTGCACAGTGACAATAAAAGCCTTTAAGTCAACACTCCGCGAAAACTTCTTCACAGTCATGTATTCTAAAATATGGAACAATCTGCCCCTAGATATCAGGAACTGCAATACAGTTTTAAGTTTCAAACGCTCTCTGTACACACTATTTCACTCTACCGACTATATAAATAAACTATTTATCCCTAGAACGAATCAACTATTAGTCTACTACAGTACCTAAACGCGCTTAAATACACTTACTTCCCTAAAGACTATAAATAAACTAGTAGCATAAATGCATAAAAAGACTATTTCACTCTACCGACTATATAAGTAAACTATTTATCCCTAGAACGAATCAACTATTAGTCTACTACAGTACCTAAACGCGCTTAAATACCCTTACTTCCCTAAAGACTATAAATAAACTAGTAGCATAAATGCATAAAAAGACATAGTAGAAACAAATTTTTGTTCATCAAATTACAATGTACAACGAATATAATCAAATCTTTTAGACCCCACCTGCTTTTTCTTTGTCCTCTGGTACATTTCTGTTGTATTTACTTTGTAGTACAAGTTGCATTGATCTACATTCCGACTGAAGCTGAGAAACAATTGAAGTCACTTACTCATATATCATCCCTCAAGGTTTGGCTAGTAATGGCTCAGCATCCTTGATGAAATCCACTGTCACCATAACTAGACGCTGTACAGCATCTTATACAAGCACTGTCAACGATCTAAAATGGTTTTTATATAGCTTTCTACGTGTTTATCAACTTACTCGTACGGAGCAACCATGCTGTGACAAATGGCGGGCTATGGGTGACTTGGGCGCAGTAAAACAAATTTGCTTGACAATGACCAATATTAATCTGCATTCAGTTGAATTCACATCTGGTATTACCTGCAAAAAAATGATGTCAAAATCATAAAAATTAATCACTCATTTTAAATTAATACACAATTTGAACATAAAACAAGATACGATGCCGCACACAACAAAGTTATATGGAGGAATTGACTTCAAGCTTTATTTTTTTCCCAAATATTTGTAATTTATCCGACACGTACTTGGGTTTTTTTGTTAATGCGAAGACAATATTTCTATATTTCTTTATGTGCTCCATTGAACGACTAACTATCAGAATGTGCTCACTAACTGATATCAGAGAGGACAGCAACCATGTAATTTCACTATAAATCAAATTCATGTAATTTAAATAATACTTATCCATGCCTGTACAACTGGTGTGTCCTACATTGATAGGAAATATATATTATTATCAGCTCTAAGCTCAAGTGGAAAATACATGGCTTGCTGGCAATGGAACAGCATGGATTCCAATCAGGACGATCCTGCCTGACAATTCTACCGTTAGCTGAGGAATATTGGGCCAAAGCTAGGGATAAGGACCTTCTACTGGACCTTGTCTTTATCGACCTAAGTAAAGCATTTGTTAAGGTATCCCACTTAGGTCTTCTTGGTAAACGTAAACGTTTCGGATCAGACCGGCGCTCAAATGAGTGGTTTAGAGACTACCTGGTGGATGGAAGGTAGAAGGAAAAGGTTAGTGGTGTACTGTCAGGGTGGAAAGCAGTACTAAGTGGAGTACCTCAGGGAGCTACGCTTGGCCCCCTACTATTTCTATTATACGTAAATGAAGTGCCGAAAACCCTTACCTTAACTTCCTTACTATTTGCGGACGATATAAGGATATGGAAAACCGTAAGTAGTAACGACGATAGGTTGCTACTACAAAATGATCTAAATAAATTAGTCGAATGAGCTAACCTTTGGAGTCTGGAAGTTAATTCCGAGGAAAGCGCGGTGATGCACCTAGGTCAGAGGTCTTACACACTGTACTCTCTGGGAGACACAGAACTACCGGATGTTAATGAACATAAGGACTTAGGAATTATTGTAAGCCATGATTCAAAAACAACAGCAAATTATAATGGAGCCGAAGCTAAAGCTTTTCGAATTCTATGGGCACATAGAAGGGCTTTCAAACGATTAAAAGGGGGTATCTTCCAAGTACTCTATGCAACATATGTCAGACCCCATTTAGAATACTGCAAACAAGCAGTGAAAACCTGCTTCGGAAAGGAGGCACATATCCTGGAAAGAGTACAGAAAATAGAAACAAAATTAGTAAGTGCTTTCTCACACCTTCATTATGATATGAGGATGGAGCATCTAAATATCTTCCCATTATCATACCTGAGGAGGAGAGGCGACTTTATTTTGGGTTACCGTATATTAAAGGGTGATTTAGGGATTAATCTTTCAAACCTTTTTTCTCCCTCTAGAATACATATACGAGGTCACCACAAGAAGGTGCCCAAACCGAGGTCCAATATCCAATATCCAACATCGTTTTTACGAGCTAGTATAAACCAATTTGATTTCGTTGTGCTCGCTACTTGATTGTGAGGTAAAGGTTCCTGATCTTCAGTAAACTTCTGCGTAGCTCGTCCCGCCACTTGAATGTCATTGCTTTGGTTGACTCCAAAAGGAGTAGTGCAGGGATTAATTATATGTGGTTTGTAGTATGAGGTGTGTTAAGACTGTTACTACTGTGAATGGAGTTGATCCTTTCACCAGTTAGTCCTCCAGTATCATCATCATAAGAAAAGAGATAATAATACTAATAGATATAATTAGTGAAGTCATTCAGACTAACAGACAGAAAAAGAAATAAAGAAAACGTAACAACAGTAAGCTGATTAAATTTGAAGAATAATATGAATAGTATATATATTTATGTATCGGTAATAATGATAATAATAATATTAAGTGTAGTTAAGGTTGTCAGAAGAGTAACGCGGAAGAGAATGTAAAGAAGTAAAACGACGAATTTAGGTCTACCCCTAAATGGTGTATGGGATTTTAAGGGAATAGGCCATTTGGACTCAGTCCTTGTGTTGCTGCATGATTGTCCAGCCTTCGCTTAAGGGTGTCCACAGACGGTGCCAAAGCTAAATCTGCCGGTAAGGAATTCCAGGGACGGCAAACCCGCAGTGAAAAGAAGTGGGAGCGCACTCGGGTCCTTGCCCTCTGGTGAGCTATCCTTCAGGGATTTCCACGAAGGAGCCTATACCTACTCAATGGCAGAACACCTTTTATAGATGATTCTGGTCATTTGTTATTTTGTAGGCAGTGATTTAATCCCTCCTAAGACGAAGATAGCTAAGTGTGGGGAAACCTTTCATCATATGGTTTGTTTCGGAAACCAACCACTCCTTTTGTTGCCCGTCGTTAAACTCTTTCCAAGAGGTTGGCGTCTCCTCTAAGCATTGGGGGTGCAATAATATTATGTACTTCAAGGTGTGGTCAGGAGTGAGTACACCTAACTGTTTATGTGTAAAGTGTATGACCGCATATGCCCTCACTACGTCCCTCGTGTAATTAACGCTTGTGTCCATTTTTTCCGTTAGAACTAGACCTAAGTCGCGTTCCGACGTTGTGCATGACAAGCTTTCATTGCACAGGGTGTAACTTGCATTCCACAGTCTACGGGTGCGTAACTTCACTATGCGCTTTTTCAGGTTGAAAGTCATGCCACTGGCCACCACCCAGTCTTCCAGAAGGTTTAGATCTTCCTGCAGCCTATCTGAGTCCTCCGGACACTTTACCGCCCTCCATATCTCTACGTCGTCAGCGTATAGAAGAGTCAGACAGCTTAGAAGGCATGGTAGATCATTGATAAAAATCAAAAACATCATTGGTCCTAGGATAGAACCTTTCGACACTCCTGTTGACGAGCTGTGCCAAGATGATCGGACTCGATTGACCTTAGTGCAAAATTGCCTTTCAGCTAGGTAGTCCTTTAACCATGACAGAAGTGGCTTACCTACACCTGCCTGAATTGTTTTGTGTAGAAGAAGGTCATGGTGAACGGTGTCAAATGCCTTCTCAAAGTCTGGGAAGACCACATGGACTGGAACTTTCATATCCCAGCATGATGTCCAATCGTTCCAAGCTGATAGTAGGTTAGTAACACAGGGTCTGCCTTTCTTGAAATCGTGTTGGGCTTCATGGAGTATATTAGACCTATCGAGATATTCCCTGATGTGATTGTCAATAATACTTTCCAGTACTTTTGATACCACAGGGAGTAGAGCTACTGGTCTATAACTAGTGGCAAATTGCCTATCCCCACCCTTGAAGATCGGAGAAGGAATGGCTCTTTTTACTCCCTCAGCAGTTTCCCCGAATCCATTGAGTGTTGGAACAAATCACATAAGGGTCTACGGAGAGTTTTGGCGCACTGTTTCAGAACAGATGGTCTGATGTCGTCACCACCTGGGGACTTCCCAGGTGTGAGTCGCTGTAGCTTCCTTAGTACTATTGCGAGGTTTATTTGGGGAGTAGCCACTAGGTCTTCCTCCTGTGAAATATTGGCGCCACCATTTTGGTCCGTAACGGTAATACCCACATTGTTGTTCTGCTGTTTGGCAAAGGCTAAACTGAATAAAATACGTGTGCAGTTTAGATTCTCTCACAAAGTGGTCAACGAATGAAACTCCTTACTTGATTCAGTAGTAACAGCTCCATCGGTGAACGCTTTCAAAGAGAAACTGGATCTCTGCAGATATATATCACGAGAATTGACATAGGCAACAGGAGCCTTCTGTCCTTATAATCCGCATCTGACCTTGAGAGCGTTTTTTCAATTGTTCCGACACAATTGGGGATGATATGCGATGAGGCTTTCATGTAAGCCATGTTACTCTGCATTATTGTCTTTATGCTTTTAATAGGTCATCATCCTTAGATAAGCCGACTAATGAACACTCAGTCACCCCTTTTGGTGTAAATGCTCCACCTGCAGTTCAGCATCACATTGACGTGAAATCGAAATTGTGGTCAAAAGAAATTTATTTGGATGTCTGTGATAGACCTAGTCTTTCAACACTTCTCGACTTTATGAGTATGATTCAGAACTTGTCGTGCAATCGTGTGGATAGTGAACCTGCATCAGCGAACTCTCGAATAAATCATACATACTTAAGTATACCCTCAAGTATTTGTTTGAGCAAGACTTCGTTGACATTATCCTATCCTCTCAGTGACTATGGATCTGTACATGACCTTTTGCTTAATAAGTGTGATAGATTCAATGAGGACTTAATTTGTGCTATATTTAGTCGAGCGGTGTTCTGCATCGACCAGTTGCATAGCAGTGGCTTGCTTCACCGTGGTTTGTGCTGCAAGCATCTCCTTCTGCGTAAGAAATTGGCCACCGACTCACAGTCTGATGAAGTGGAGGTTGTACTCTGTGGCCTTGGAAGCATAGCTCATCTACCTCCATCCTGGAGTTCTGTGGCACGAAACGATTTACCCTTCCTCTATGTTGCTTGGCGTGGTTGGAGGGTACCCGAGTCATCTAAAAGTCAGTCATCGTACAGCCATCCGGTAGCTTGGTATAGTCCTGAGTTACTATCACAAGACTTTACCGGGTATTCATGGTCTTCAGATGTATACAGTTTAGGACTCATCCTATATGAGATGTTCACTGGCAAACCACCCTACACTGGATGTCCCCCTTCCTTAATCTTTTTGAAGAAAATGCTTCATTTGGATTTCCCTAAGCTTTATAATGTAAGTTCTAGTCACTTTATGTATTTGAATTATATATATATATATTTTGTGGAGATGCGGCTTATTCACCTAAGAATTTGACGGTCTCCCGACTTTCAGTCAGTCAACCATTTTTTAGATTTTCACTCTGTATGATAATATACATATAGCCAGCCCACATAATGTAGTTTTGAATTACTGCCTAGTGCACATAAATGGCCTTAGGGGCTAACTAGGTATTACTGCATTCCAGAAAGTCAATTAAGAAATGCTCCATCATGAACAGTTGATTTGAAGTTTATAACATGTGAAGCGTAATCGTCAACTCATCATAAATTTAAAAACACACAAAAGTTTTAGAGACCGAGAAAAGTACGGATATCTTTCTTGGCTAGCTACAACTTTCATCAAGATGTTACGCAGCCTTTTTGATTTACATAGGATAGAGGAGTTTCGGGTCTCAGACACTATTAATCAAGCTAATATCTGAATTGAATTCTCAGTGTAGAACTTTGCACAACAGTTCAAGTTTCCACAATTCATAAAAGTCACACAACGAAATAGGAAAAACAGTTGCAAGCAAAATGCACTAAAAGGGGAATTAACGGTTACATGGAGATTCTAATAGTCTCGGGAGATCACACCGTGAATACCTTCGGACATTCACTAGTTGATTCTTAGTATCCCGAGGACCCCAGCCAGTCAGTTTACAGCGTCCTACGTGACTCTCACTAACAGTCTAGTTCTCTATGGATTGATGCCACGTTTTCGCCTGATCACCCCTAACGCTTCTCCAATTCAATCCTATGTAAGTTAACATTGCTCGTTGGGGAAGCCAGTGGTTCAACATGCCTAACAAATGTTATTATCATAAAAGTCGATGCAGCTTCACAACCTCATCGATACACTTCCCCTCCAAACCCAACTAATCGCTCAATTCCAATATTACTCACCATATTATACCACCAAACACGAGTACTTATGGTCAAAGACGGATAGCCTCTTCATGTCTTCACTTTCGGGGACCATGTCTCAGCTGTAAAAAACGACGGAGGTAAATGGTAAGCAATACGCAACTACTTTGTTAGATAGCCGGACACGTCTACGTCAATGATAACATAAGTTGGCGAATACCGTAAGAGTCTCATGAATCGTAGCTGAAATTTCGTCAGCAGTCGGTCCGACAGGGCTGATTTATCTTCCCAAATATGTGGAGTCAGAACGCTCAAACATTTCGTTCCCCGTCATCCAAAGGTAATATCTGTAGTGTATGGGTGGTTATTACTTCTTGGTTGATTGCATTGCAAAAGTTGATTTCCCCTCGAAAAGGCAGAAACAAGAAGGAAATTTTTGTCCGGTGTCCATCGAACCGAAGGACACAACTGTTTGACGCTGGTCAAACAGAGTCTGTTTGAAGCAGCTTTTGGAGCTGTATTTGTGTCGGAATGTCACCGCTAGTTACGGGCCACCACAGGGTAAAACATTTTTCAGCCCCCTTTCCCAGAGGGGAACAACACGCGCATTCGTCTCAGCCAGTGTTGTTCGTTGAATCATTGAGACATGCAGACCCAACCACAATGTCAAGGTAACAGCTGTCGGTTGGGAAGCTGATTGGTACTAAAGCTATTACAAGAGAATCATGAAAGGTTTACTTTAGTGTGATAGAACTAACTCGGATTCTCACATGCTAACAAGTGCCTTAATTATCCTAGTCACTCATTTTAGCTAAATCTTAATGTGTACAAATGCACACAATTCACTTTTTCACAAAATAATCAGCAGCACGAACTGATGTGAACGCTTAGACGCAATCTACATGCCAAGGTAGACATAAATTTAAGACCAGATCCTGTTGCACGTCATCAATTCAAGTTGCTATTTTAGATTTTGAAAGTATGAGATAAATTAGTGAAGGCGGTAAGATGGAAATGATAGCCTGAAATCATAGTCATAAGACAGATGACCACAATTATGTTGTCGAGAAGCAGTCTTCATTTTTTTTCCCCCGCTATAATTTACGCAATTATTTTAATATTTCATTATCCTTCTATTATTGCCGCAGCATTATTATTATTACCTGCTGTTTATGCTTGTTTGTTTTTTGTTTTATTATACATATAAGAATAATAATCGTCATCCACCAAGTGCTCAATTGGAAGAAATTTATAATGCTTGCACACACTACAATCCAAAACAACGTCCATCTACAAAAGATTTATTAAATATGCCATGGATACAGCAAGGTTTAAACAGACCTATCACAAGTAAAGAATTAGATTCCTTATGAGTTAAGATAAGGTGCAAGGAATAGTCAAGTGGAAGACATAAAGAGGAGGTAACAACATATATACACACAAAAAATTTCTCTCTCTCACTCATAGAAATATTAATATTGTTATATACATTAGTCTTATACATAAAATGTACATATATATACATATACATTTTTTTCTTCAGAATACGTATTATTCTGATATTATCTTTTTCTAGAAAAAAAATATATATAGTATATTATTGCTTCATTTTGCTTTTTCATCTAAACCGTTTGGATATTGTTTTTTGAATCGCTCAACAACTGCTGGATCTACTAAATACGTTCCATCCAGTTGATTCCCGAGTGTGATCCTGTGTAATTATAGAAATGAATAAACAATAATTTGAGAATGTTGAGGTTAATACACATAGAGTCACGAATGATCTGGTGTTTAATAAGTAGCTTTATGTATTAACACTTCAGTGGGGAATTGCTTTTATAAGAAAGTGAATATCATTCGTATAGCATACTGCCGCTGAAACAATAACCTCAGTTCGTCTACCGATTTAGAGGTCGTATTATTTGTGAACGGTACATAGTACGCCACTGATTAGTATTTGTTTTAGTTATGTGAACTTTTCCGCGTCGCAATGCCAAAGCATACTACTGGATAAAAAATACATATATAAACGTGAACGGTAAACAGATATAGTTTCAAATCACTTTCTTGTCACATAAATTAAAATCACCTACTAAAAGGAAAAGCGGACGGAGAACACCCTTCCTAGGAATTGTTTAATAATGGCCAATTTTGAGGTTAGCGTACATTGCTGTCCAACCATTAGGACTTCCTACAGTTCCTTTGCAACCCTAAATACCGATTAAACTATATCTTAAGACTGACTACACGCCTATACCATTGATTGGTTAAACAGGATATAGTCTGAAAAAAAATACTGATGATACACTTATAATTCAGTGAGCACTTCTTTAAAAAGCAGTAATATATATATATATATATATATATATATATCAAGTCTCACCAGTTAGGCTGCAAGTTATGAGGACGTCCGAATAGTTCCAATTTACGGGTACCAGGAGATAATCTTTCAATAATACCGTAGATTTCATCAGGTTTGTGGCTTGTTTCACGAACTTCAGAAACAATAATATCGCAATCCAGGCCTTTATTCACACCCTAGAGATTTGTAGAAACACACAAAATATATGTTAGGAGATGTTTCATCACAAATTTAAACATCTCAGCGAAATGACAGTCACTGATTACTTACTACAGAAAAAAGTATGAAGTTGTGCATTTCTATTGACTTACTTTTGGATTACCTTTAACACCAACTAGACAGTGTTCCTTGCCATGATTCAACCAATGCCCTGTACGACCTGTTCTGATTAAACGTTGCAACTGATTAGTCTTAACCCAAATAATCTCATCAATACGTTCATAACCCCATAAACGTAGACATTCTCGGCCAAGTTCCATAGCTCTGTAAAAGAAGAGTTATGCGGATAGCAGACTGATGTGTGCTGTGAGTATTACACAAGAATTTAATATACTCAGTAGTATTTTCGTGTGTCAAAAACATTGTTAAACTTTGATCGGGTTTATCGAGAAAATAACTCCATATCCTTAAGGTGCAAACATGAATAAAACAAAACTAACCTGCCTGTGACCCACAAGAATATGTAACCATCATCTTGTAGACATGGTATATCCAAACGCCTCATTTCATCATCTGACATTGTTCCATATGGTAGCTCCATGTGTATATCCCACGGTGGATCAGCCATAATAACAGAGAATTTCCCAAGAATTGACATATTTATTAATCGAATGTCACAATTAATCCACTGAAAATATAAAAAGAAATGGGAGCTGATTTTAGCAAACAAAAAATTTAACTTGCTGGTTATACTACTTATTATTTGTTAACTCATTTGGAAACAGGGAGATGCATCTGTAACTAGGTAACACCAAACAGCTGAATAGTAGGAAACAATCAAGTGTTTATTTATCTGTAGAGATTAAGGAAAAATCTGAAGCGTTTTTAGTACTGACTGAATTTCAGCATCCTGCCGTCGACGGTCGCTTGACAATACGAGATTCTGTCCTCAGATCTTTTGCTTCATTTTACAAAACATTTCTGAATATCTACAACTTTAAAAGAAATTACCAGTGAATATATGTGCTTTATTGCTGATAGTGTTTAACTAAGCATTCTTTAGAGGCTGAGGGTGTTGACGTTAACGGGTAGTACTAAAGTATACTAAAGCAAGATCTAATACCCACAACTTCTATAGTATTCACTCCGCGGAGACTAAAGGCAAAGCAAAACACCAAAAATGATCGTCCAAATTACGAAGTATATTTCGGGACCGAATCGTAGTGCAAGGTTCATTACTTGGCTAGCTAGGAATCGTACACGAACGTAACACGACGGCGTTCCGAACGGCTTGAAGGCTTGACCGTAAGTCTTCAGCTGAACAAGGCAACTTAAACAGTTACGGTCAGCATCCGATGTTCAGTGATGAATGCTGTGACTAATAATTTTGAGGAATTACCTACCGTTACAGTTCACATAGATAACTTTAAACAAATAAGATTTACCTTCCCCACACGACCCATCTATTATTCAGGATCAATACACTAACTGGTGCAGTTTCTTTAGGTATGCATGTTTATTTATTTTATTAACAACACAAACTTGGCAGATAGTGATGCTCTACACAAAATCTCATAGTTTGTGCCAGGGCTGAGATGCATCCCGGACGCGAAGGCCGAAGCAGGCGGTTGTCTTAAGTGGTCACTTCCTGAGCCTTTCTCTCGAAATCTGATCTCTAGGGCAGTGGAACTGCGTCTCCATCGGTTGCCGGTGAACAAAGCAGGTTCATACACCCGTTTCGATCCTTACAGATTCTGGAGCCCATGAACACTAAAAGTTTGGAATTAGGGTTTTCCAGTTCCAGCATTTGCTATTTTACTTTTGTGAGAAACGTCGCCACCATATGAAGGCAGTAAATAGAATTGACCAGATGGAGGCTACGAACGCATGGTCACATAATAGCATTTCAAGAGGAAGACCGAAGTCTATACACCCTTGGTTGTACCAGGTCGTTTATTTGGGGTGGGGCATTTTTAAGTATGATAGTATTATACCTCGCTAAACTCAAGTCTTTGGCGTCTCAATCAATCAAATATCTATTGTGTTTTCAAAGGGGAAGAATACCTCCGCACGAGGAAACACTACCGCTTTAATCTGGCTACCTAGGCGACAGAATTTTTACAAAAAAACCACGATTTAGACTGCTTTATTATAGATAAGATTTAATTTTGATAAATCACACAGTGTTATACGGTAATATTAACTGATGACGTTTTGAGCACAAACTATTGCTCGGAACGTCATCAACTAATATTACTGTATAACACTGTGTGATTTATCAAAATTAAATCTTATCTAAAATGGAGTTATACTCTACCACAGTGCCCAAGTTTGTACTTATATCAATTTAGATTGCTTACCTGTGGTGGATATAAGATTAACGGGGCACCATTCTCCTTTGTAGCACCAGTTGGATCTACTGAACTTGCACTACTAGTTTGTGATTTTCCCGTCTCATAGTTCCCATTCATCACACGGTTGTTATTTCGACCAGTATTTAATGAATTCTCATTTGCTGAACGTGATGCGTGAATACTGCCCGTATAATCGATTGTGTAATGGACGTACTGAAAGGGAAAAATATACAATTTAGGGGTAAGATTCGACAGTAATAATAATTCATCCATTGCATTACCAGTGGAAAATAGGACAGCAGCAACACAACTCCACTACATTCTGTTCACTGCACTTTCAGCCGGCTCCATGACTGTGTTGGTGGAACCATTAATGGCAGAGTTCGACAGCCCGGCGGACAGGCAGCTGGCGGCGCAGCAGTTTCGTGCCGCTAGTGTTGGCGGTGAAGCTGACGACTATACTACGTCGTGCACTCCCCACATTGGATGAAGAGTCTGGAGTCGCAGTTGCTGACATCCCAGTTCATTGAGAGTGTCCCAGACCACATTTCTCAGGAACTACAACTGGTTAACTCTGCACAACCCATGGACATCAGTGCGCTAGAGCAGAGGTGACCAGGCAGCTGTTGAGCTCAACGGTAACCGCAATAGAGCCACCGAAATTGAATGAATGGGAGCAGAAAATTGAAGATTTTGCAGCATGAATTAGCGGCACTACGAATTAGTGCGAGGAAACACCGATGCTTTGAATGTGACACTGGAGGAGGCACTGCCCCGGAAAAAGGAGAAGGAAAAATTTTAGACAGCATAATGTGTGTTCTTTCTCTCCTATCAGACTAGAAGTAATAGGGGCTATTGAGACGAGGCCATGTACTCTAAGGTGTAAGTGTATGGCCAATAAGTGGTAATGTTTAAATGGATACAGGGGCAGTGGTCTCACTAATAGATAGTAATCTATGCCACATTGTCAGACGGTGTTTACTAACAGTTCGAATGGTAGGTGAACACGTGTTAAGCGTCATGGGCATTTAAAACTGTAGTGTTTTTATTGACGATGACGAAGTAACTTTCTCGTTGATTGTTGTGCCCGAGTTACAATGCTGCTAGTCACTACTTAGTTAGATTATTTGTCATAAATGAGTGAAACTCATCTGTTAATATGAATGCTTGACACTGAATTGACGCTTCTACTTTATAATTTTCAAGTCTATGTACACGTATATATATTCGTGCATATCATCGGCTAAATACAGTCAATGCGTTTTCTTGCTGATAAAGCAAACTAAATGGTAGTTTATTGAATCTTTCACTTTACCTCGAATATCCTCTGCTGGTTATATAGTCCTTTGATCAACCAATCGTATTTTTGTATTATGTCTAAAATCCACTCGATTCATTCATGCAGTAAAAGTACTGTTTTGCTTAGGTCTCCTCTACGTATTTCATTCGATCGTTAATCCTTTATACATTTAAATCCTGAGTCTATATATATATTCACATACAAATAGGAATATTAAGTTAAGTAATAAACAAAAAGAACACATAACACCGATTGGATTGAAATAATAAATTTCTTACATAAAAGAAAATAAATAAATAAGTAAATTACAATTACAGAAATATACCTTGCAAGTGTCTACGTGAAAACATGTATTGAGAAATGAACAGTCTCCAAGAGATTCTATAGAAAAAAAGAACACACAAAAGATGATTAACTATGATGCCGAGTTCTAAAATAAAAATCTCAGGGTGATGAATAGTTCTGAGCTATATGCATCGATGGTAGAATGCGCGCTTACACCTAACTAACTCACCTTCCCCCTCTCTCCCAGACAGGGGAGATTCAGGTTCAATTTCCAACCGATGAACTCTGAAGTTTTACGGTCGTTTACTAGCCGGTAGTAATCTTTCAAAAGAAAGGAGAGTTGTGTACTATCGCCGGTGAAACTTCAAGTACTGAAGACCGCCCATCACCACCCTCCTTTCCCCCTGGTACATGCATTCCCTTCGGAATGCAAGGAATGGGAGAAAAATATAATAATAAATTTGCTTTGAACTATGACGTTTAGGGTATATCTAGAAAGAACATAAATGCAATACTGATAATCTGTTGTACTACTATCAGGGATTAACACAGATGTAACCGATGACTGTAAGTCATACTTGATATGTTAAGCTTTATATAACAGAAGACGATAAATGGATTGAGATTAAAACTGGGCTTAATCCTAGTTGAATATCTAACTAACTAGGAAGTCTAAGGCTACTGTCCTCTGTATATTTATATGTTAAATTAAACAAATGTTATGTGGAACAAATAAGAGATAGATAGAGAGAAAGATAAAAACACAATTAATACAACATTCACCTATGTTATGCTTAACTAACTTACCGTCAGTATGTGGATGGATAATTTTACGGAAATGTAGTTTTGTACACTTTTCTTTATCACCAGTACGTGCTTTAACCTTAGAACATTCAATACGCGTACCGTGTGAACAAAACTGTTGTACTTGACTACCTAAAAGTGTAAATGTCATAAGAACAAACTAAGCGTATGCATGAATGTATATATGTAAGTATGTATATGCAATAATGTAATACATATCAGAAAATAGTGGAAATCAGCGGTCAAATGCGTTTGTATATTGTTATTTAACAGCGTATTTTACACTGACTCTTGGTTGAACAAGTCAACGTAATTAAAGAAGGCATTCGATTGAAGTTAACGTACTTAACTGTACAAAGGTTACAATACTTGATACACTACACACACAAGCTAGTAAAAAAAGAGAGGAATGCAGACAATATAAAACCTAACTGAAATGTATGCGATAAAGATTGATTACTTGGGGAATAATAGAATTCTAATGCATCCGGGAGATTATTATTATTTATTTTATTCCTTTACATCTCCCTACCTGATTCAGTTTAACTGTCAAGGATTTCATGGATTGATGCCATGTTTTTGTTTGGCCACCACTTACTCTTTTCCAACCTGCACCTATATCAGCTAGTAATGCCCGTCCGTCGGAGGAGGCGATGGTTAGGCATGCGCAGCACATGACCTAGCCATCTCAATTTATGTAACTTTATAGCCTCTTAGATTGATTTTCCCTCTTTGCCCGACACTCTACGCTTAAGCTCAACATTACTTACCTTATTATACCACCTAACGTGAGAAAGAGATCGTAGACATCTATGATCAAAAACAGTCAACTTTTTCATGTCTTCAACTCGTATTGGCCATGCTTCAGAGCCATAGAGAAGGACAGAGCGAACTGCTGAGTAGTACACACGTCCCTTGGTCGATAGCCGGATGTCACGCCTACGCCAGAGATGGGGTAAGTTAGCGAAAGCAGCTCGAGCTTTTTGGATCCGTGCTGAGATTTCGTCATGAATCTGTCCGTTGGTGCTGAAACAACTTCCCAAATAGGTGAAGTGGTCAACATGTTCTACCACTTCACTCCCTATCACTAAGCTAGGAGTTGACGTAGTCCAGCCCTGTAGCAGCATCTTACATTTTACAGGGGCGAATCGCATGCCAAACATACGAAGATTGCAGCTCAAGGTGTTCAGAAGACTCTGCATTTTGTCAGCATCCTCCCCTAACAGGACTATGTCATCTGCATATTCTAAGTCCATAAGACTATTCCCTGGTAACAAGTCGATCCCTAAGTCGTTAAGTTCAGTTAAGGATACTTCCATTAGCATATCTATGATGAAGTTAAACAGGAATGGGGAAAGTGGACAACCTTGACGGACACCACTGGTTGTTAACAATTCAGATGACAATTCCCCATAAGCCCTTACACGGCTACGTGAGTTTGAGTAGAGTGCCTTGATTAGTGCAATGTACTTTCTTGGCACTCCCTTCACAGTTAAACATTGCCATAGTACCTTTCGATCCACGGAGTCGAAGGCCGCCTTCAGGGATTTTTTTCCTTCGCGTTCCCTAGTGGAACATAGGGCTTCAAGCTTGTGGCTTGAAGTTTCTGTAGCAGTGTTTATTTTACAGGATGGGGTTGCTAGTCTCATGCCCAACCTTTCCTCTTCACCAGCATTATTCCTGGCTTAGCGAGGTCTGGGAGTGCGTCGGCCGGGGATCGAACTCAGGACCATGTGCATGGTCGGCGAGCGTCCTAACCGCTATGAAAGCCGCTTTCAAGTCAAGAAATATGGCAATTGTTGGACGGCTAAAAGTGTGTCTATGTTCTAGGATCTGTCGGAGAGTGAAGATATGATCTATGCACCCTCTACCTGGCCTAAAGCCTGCTTGATTTTCCCTTGTTTGTTCCTCCCGAGTTCTGCTTAGTCTATGTTCAGGAAGAGTGGTGTTTTATTTTTATGGGGTGGGATTGCTAGTCTCGCACCTAACCTTTCCTCTTTACCAGTCTTATTACTGACTTAGCGGGGTAAAGAAGTGCGTCGGCCGGGGATCGAACCCAGAACCACATGCGTGATTGGCGAGCATTCTACCTCTGCGCCACCCATGCATATCCGGAAGATTACAAAGAGTAAATGCATTTATTCCATTGAGGAACACTTAGAGCTATGTAACCAGGAAACTGACTGTTACAATCTCCAGGATGTCTCACAGCCAGGCAGTCACCACAGTCATAAAAAACTCAAACCTATAAGTCAAGCACTCTATGGATGGATGCAATGTTTTCGTCTGACAACCTTTACCTCTTCGCCAACCCAATCTTAAGTCAGCTAATAGTGCTCATCGAAGAAGACGATAGCTCAGCGTATGTATCACTTGACTTAGTCATTTCAATCCATGTAGCTTTGTAATCTCTTCGATTCAATCCCTCTTTCTCCCTACCCACCAAACACTTCGCCTAATCACAATATTACCTAGCATATTATACTACTATACAAGAACACTTATAATCAAAGATATTTAATCATATTTACTATATATTACTATTCAATATGTCCACCTGGTGTTCTGCGTCAATCAAAAGTCACGTGACTAAAACATCTGGATGTTTACAGGGAAATTATGGTGTCATTTGGTGCAAATTGTGCGTCGGTGGTATAGCGGTTAGGACGCTCGCCGACCATGCACATGGTCCGGGGTTCGATACCCGGCCACAGACGCACTCCTTCACCTCGCTGAGCCAGGAATAATGCTGGTGAAAAGGAAAGGTTGGACATGAGGCTAGCAACCCCATCCTGTAAAATAAACACTGCTACAGAAACTTCAAGCCACTAGCTTGAAGCCCTATTTTCGACTGGGGAACGTGAAGGAAAAAATAAATAATAAATAAATTGGTGCAAATTCCTTATTCATACATACACCTTTTATGAGAAATTCTAATCTCCCTGTACCATCACCTTTAGAATTTAAGTGGTTACTATAATTAATGTAAAATCATGAAATTCAATCCCAGTTTAATAACATATTTTATCAACATGTTGATGGGAAGCCCATTCGGTCCTATATTGACAGATATTTTTCATAGTAAATCTGGAGAACAAACAACTGAAAGATACAATGAAAGAAATGATACAAAACATCAGATATGTATGTTGATTAACATTTATAATTGTAGCTATGATGATTTATTTCATGCAAAAATTAGATGAAGCTCACGAAAAAAAAAACAGTTAATTTCACCATGGAATATGAAGTTGATGGAAAATTTAACTCTCTGGATATGGTTGTGAAAGGCAGGATAAATGGTACATTGAAAAGATCCATATTCATAAGAGAAGTATATGGAGTGGAAGTTACTCGAATATCAACAGTCTTTATCCTGTTTAACTATAAGCGACAGTGAGTCCAAACATTATTTTCATAACATATATGAATGACATATCCCCAGTGGTAAATGATTACAGATTAATGTCTACAGGATAACGGATATCCGTAACGATTTGGAGAAAGTGAAAGCAACAGAATTAAAAAAAAACCACCGTAGTGAATAAAAAGCCTGTATTCATTGACTTAAAAATTTAAAAGTGACGCCTTAACACATACTGGGCGAGGACATTTCCTGCGTCCAGATTGAATTTCATGTATCAAACAGCATGTTCTTCTGTTCAGTCAGAAGTCGGCAGGTACTCTTTCCCAGGGGAATAGTATTTTGGATAATTTCTTATATATATATATATATATATAGTCCACGCAAATTCAACTGGATAATCAACTTACCTCCCTGAGTTCGGAAACGCTCTGTGAGGAATCTTTCCTAAAAGGAAATGTTTCAAAAAGAAAATGCACATTAGTACACTCAATGATTCATCATAATATTTAAGCATAGTGTGTGTACAAACAACCGACTCAGAGTATTGTCAGCCTCCATTTCTTTGAATCAAAGATATTCCCAGATATCTACTCTCTTAAAATGTCTGATATGGTAAGAGGAAAATAATTCTTCTGATCCACCTATAGTATAGTATCGCAGGAAAAACTGCCTCTTTTATACAAGGTATAATGCATTGCATTGGACCCTGCTCTTGATTACTACATAAAAGGGAAACATGTCCATACCTCAAGGAAGATTCAGACGAACTTTTGCTGTTAAACCACCTTTGGACGCTTTAATACACCACACGAATTTGGTAGAAACATCAAATGAACTGTGGGGAGATTGATCACAGGTCATCCGAAAAAGAAAATCGAATTCGGTTGATGAGACTAGGAATTTACACTGCTTAAGATGCTCGTAATATGTGAGTTGTATTTAATCAACAGCCCTACGCTGAAACACCTTCCTTCATATGAATAATAGTTTGTAAACAGCCTACTAATTTCGATTCAGAGAGATCAAATTTGTCACCTCTAACTGCTTCGATAAATTTACGTGCATTAAGAGGAGGAGGGAAAAAGAGTATTCTATTCGGTTTTCTGAGGATATCCCAAGAAACGTATGCCCTAAAAGGAAGCAGATATTCGCGAAATTCAATTACCAGTTATCCGGTGGATGCGGGTCATTTCATCAAGATTTCCAAATTCTTCAAAATATTAAATACACAAAGGAGAGAAAATTTACTAAAATTTCCTGTAGCAATCGTAATCTAACGTTTCCAACTAAACTCATACACACGGAAAGAGACTGTCATCAATTTCTCACTCCTTTGGAAACTGCATTTTGATTACATCGATTAGTCATCCATATTCCTTTGTGTGCTACATGGAGTGTGGCGACTTGAACTGCCGCACATATGTGCAAAGTTCTAGGTCGAAAACCGACCGACCATCCATATTAGTGATTTCAGCTCACTGAGCAAATTTCAAGCTTATGAGCTAAAAACTTGTGTTATTGTGAACTGTTTATTAGATTTTCCTGTTTCCTATCTTCACACACTCACTCGTTTTCTATTCTGAAAGCTTGTCGACTGATGGTAACTTAAACTAAAAATTGTAACGCTTACAAGATTTCGGATGCGGGCCAAGTTAAACTTTAAGCACCACTGACTACCAATGGAGTGAGGCCGCACCAATGACCTTGAAACGCACACTGAGCAAGTTAGTGAATTTTGGCAAATAATGTTGTCATCATCAGTAAAATATGCTTATCGGAGAGTTATTTTATTGAATGGGATATCTGGCAAGCTTCAGTTTAAGTTTAGAGAAGATTAAGTCACGGTTTAGGGCAAGGACAAGTTAGGATTAGGTTAACCTATAAAAGGTGACATTAGGGTTAGTTTAGACATATTTTCACGTTAGGGCTAGGTTTAGGAAAGATTACGGTTAGAAGACCTAAATAATTACATGCATAGAATGTGGTTAAATTACTCTTACAGTGTTAACACTGTAAGACTTTATCAAAATAAATTTTGCCCACAATGGAATTACACTCTGCTTATACTCCAACCTAAAACTGAGAGTTATTTTTATCAAATGTGAGAGAAAGGTATCCTCTGTAACACTTTTATACAGTTTTTATGCATTTTTTCATAAATACACACGTATACAAAAATGTCTCCTTCACGTGATTGGTGCGTTCGAGGTCATTCGCTGATTGGTAGTTGGTGGTGCTTAAAGTGTACCTTTGCCCGGATGCGTTAGTTTTATAATATTTTCTCTACTATCACTGTCACTTTGCAGCTGATGAGAACCTATGAAATAGAATGATATCATTTTATAGTGCAAATTTGGTCTGTCTTTCTTCATCGAAATTTATCAAGCGAACCAAGTGTATGAAATATTTGAAAAGCCTACTAATTATCTACGTCCCCTACATGTTCGTTGTTAAACACCACTAAGTTTATGTAAGGTCATAGATGAGGTTACGTTATATAAGTTTTATAAACATCAACCGTATCTTTTTTCGTTAATGTTTGCTGCAAGCAGCAGAAATATTATTAAGCATACACTTTAACGCAGATGAACTTACCTTAGTAGTCTGTCTATTCAACAATTCCATAACCTCTTCTCGGATGCGTTTGCTTTCTTTTTCACGAGTAGTTTCAGCTCCCAATAGATTTTCCAGTTCAAGCTCTATCCTTTGTCCGTCTTCTTTAAGTTTATTTTCCGCTAGTTTATTTCTTGTGTCTTGTGTTGTATCATTTCGCAAATGTTTGGGAATGGTGACCTTCGATGGGTCCACTTTGTTTATAAGATCTACAGTTTTCTTCTCTGAGCATACATCTGATTTCCGTTGGCTATGATCTTTGAACTGTTCACTGCAATGAGAAATATTCAATGTGCAATGAAATTAACTTCCGAGTTACACGACTACTCTGCTTGAATTATACGCAAACCACACATTTGCACTGTAATGTAGAGTGAACTTCATAATATATTTTTAAACACCTACATATTTTCAAGTATTGGTTTTGTAGGGATTTTGTTTGATTGGATGGAGGATTTCATCATGAGCTGACATTAGTTAGAGAACCACTGGAAAACCTGGGAGTACTGGAGATCTGTTTCTTCCTAGTTTTGGGACTCTTCAACAGTATGCACCCACCGGCGTAACCTCATCACAGAAATCAAAAGTATCTGAGTGATCTGAACAGTGCTTTATGACTGTTTCACTTGCCTAGAGCTCAGCTTATCAGTATGCACAAATAGGCCAGTTAGGAAAGCTTAGTCATTAAAATTATACCAATCCTTGTCATTGAGCAAACTGGATAAAATATAGCCAATTTAAATAAGGTGTTGGTAAACAGTTCAATGGCACATGGCATAAATGACATAATGATAAGCATGAAGATTGAGTGTAAAAGCTGCATGCTGTATACTACTACTCCATAATATAAGTATTGAGAAAGCAAACTTACCAACCAGTAGTGCTCACTAATCATGGACAAGGAGATCTAATAGTCAGACAACCGATCTAGGATGAGGTTGTCAGCAGCATATGCCAAGTGATACAGATAAGAGAGGGCCAAATCATTAAAACCGTCCAAACTATGTTAATTTCCCTAGTACATCTTGGCTTGTTGTGTTTGATGAGCATCAGAATACCGCTAGTCCTAAATAAAGGTATTGAGATTTGAGAATTGATGATTTGCTTGTACTCAGTAGTGTTTAGTTTTATTCACAACTTGTTCAGTGGCTGATGGTGTATCTACTGACACTTAAACTAGCAACCACTGTACCAAATTGCAAATTGTTATTGGGTCAGTGAAGTAAGGTAGGCCAAAAGAAACAATGAAATAACATCGTTTATACAGACTGACTGAGTTTCAACATAGAAATTTGCACAGAAGCGCAGCAGTGCTACATTTCATAGAGCAGAGAAACTAATAATTAACTGAAAGGTATGCAAGAAAGAAAAAAATGCGAATTTAATGAATCTGAAACATCACAAAGAGCGGATGCATTTGCGCCACTGAGAAAGATTACAAGAAATGCGGTAAGTGTTGGACGTCAGCGAGCATATTTATATTCCAAAATCTAACAAAGGGGAAGGACATAATCAACATACCCTTCTGTGGGAATGAAATCCACTTGGTTTTATCAGGTTTATTCCCCTTACTCCAGCACTACTTACTCTACACAGGGTTATAATCCAAAAACTTTACAACACCTGGACATCCTTTTATTATCACAGGAGGATTTATCTCTTTTCTAATGATTTGGAATAATCAGTGATATGCAGCATTCCAGAAATACACCTTGTATATTATCTTGGTTAACACAGTCAACAGTTTATCGCAGCCATCTATAAACAACTCCGGAGTCATGCCATCAGATTCCTATGCTTTGGCTTTTTTTAGATTCGAGACAGCTTTTGAAACCTTTTACACATGGAAGATTCACGTCAACATCTCATTCAGGTAATGGTTAGATGATCAGCAGCTGTAGTGTAACTGTGGGTCACATGTTTTCTGCCTCTTCCATAAAGTCAGAAAGCAAATGCAACCAACACCTGTCGAATGAAATACTGTTACAAATTGGACTTCGAATTGACATCATTTGTAAAAGCACTGTAAATGGAGGAATATTGGTTATCCGTTTTTTCCTAGTCTGAGACTCTTCATCAGTACTCGCCAACCACTCCACCGGACATCGACTCCAGGATGTTCAGGTTACGAGACAATCCCATTAACAAAACATTATCTACAAAGACGAGATTCAATGGCCGGTCTATGAATTCTAACTTCTGGCGATTTTTCATGCCACAAAATTTAACAGTAGCGCTATTACAGCTATCCATCGTGGCGACTTTTCATACTGAGAGACAGAAAAAAACATGTACATAGGCGGTCAGTTGTCAATTATATATCCTAGTAGTATTACTTACCTTGATTGTATAGTCACTGAACCCTGGGTTGCAGCAGATTCTATGTGTCAAGAAAAGGAAACACACTTTAAATTACCACATATACAAAAATGGTTACAAGATAAGGGTAGATAAATTTCGAGATTGTCTACTAAGCAGTTATACGTACTCGAATCGACAGCCGGATATCACGTCTACGCCAGAGATGGCACAAGTTGGCAAATGCCACGCCAGCCTTCTGTATCCGTGCTGAGAATTCATCAGCGATCAACCCATTCGGGCTAATGGGACTTCCCAGATAAATGAAGTGGTCGGCACAATCTACCACTTCACTCCCTATCTTCAAACTACAAGTGGGTGTATTCCAGTCCTGGAGCATCACCTTACATTTGACAGGAGCGAATCGAATGCTAAACATTCGAAGATTTCTGCTTAAGGTGTTGAAAAGACATTTGAATTTTATCAGCGTTTTCATCTAAAAGGACAATACCATCCGCACACTCTTCCCTGAATCTAATTTATCAGCATTGTTGTGTCATCTAAATTTTCGGATGGTCACTTTTTATATTTTCATTCTATCCTATAAACGGTATTACGTGAACATATTCAAACTAGTGATGGCTACTAATATAAGGTATTTCTACTAAGTTCAGGAAATTTATGTTAAATGATGCAACTTACTCGATGAATCAGTTAAACTGGTAGTTATATTTGGTTGTTGTAAGCTGGCGGTAGAGAATTTTAAACTTGATTTATCCCGTGGACACTTTTCGTTAGAACTGCTATCAGTTCGTAAATTGGATGTTTCAGATACGGAAGGCACATTGCATTGGATATTATTTGGAAGTGTTTCATGCACATCTGTCGAATTACTATCTAAACGTATCTTTTTAAATGCATATTCAATAAGTGAAGCTGCAGTTGAGTTAACACCAAATGTCTTGTTAAATAAACCAACCCAATTGTTATTCGTTAACAGAAAGGAAGCTGGATTTATATCCTTTGTTTGGTTGGTAATTGATGCCAAAAATTCACGTCTTGCAGCTAGGCGTTCTCTTATAGCATTTTGTTTTGCTTTAGCAGCTTCAACCAAGTCCAAAGAGGAGCATTCAATTGAAGCTGTAGCTCCGTGTGCTTTTTTACTCATCTATAGAATACAAAATGCATAAAACTATCAGGTAGTATTTACAACGATTAACAGACAATGTGTAGAAAAGACACATCTAATCCCTGATATGCTTAGGTTTGCTACAATTCATGTCAGTGAAGAAGTTTCACAAGTTATATGAGATATTGTATTAGCATAATTTTTCGTCATCCCCATAGCCTCTCTCCATGCAGATCAGGTAAGCTATACAAAATTGCATCAGTTCATGTCACTACACTTTGAAAAAGCACAAATATAAGGAAAATATACGTCGTAAAACTACAGTGGACAAAGATATTTGACAAAATAATTGAACTCATAAGACGAAACATCGATGTCGGCAATCCTATACCTTTTATAAAAGAGCTTCTCTTGAAATGCACAGTGAATGTACACTTTTTATGTAATAAGGAACTATACAGACAAATCGATGGTGTGGCAATAGGATCACCACTCGGACCCATTCTAGCCGACATTTTCCTTGCGAAACTAGAGAATGGATCGATACCATATTTTTATCTGACCAGTCCTAAATGCTTTCCAGCCTAACTGAACTCCAACTAACATCAGAAGTCTTTAGTCCTTTTATTTCTACTTTTACCGTCTACATACCTACACACACATTCACAATCACCTTACACATCGATAAAAGCTGATAACTTAGATGACATAATCATGCATAACTTTAATGCTATTTACTAGTTTATAAACTTGAACTGTAATTTTATTCACCAAAATATAATCAAATATTTATGGTGACAAATTTCCATACGTCATTGTAGAATCCAATATTGATGAAGATATGCACCTACCTAAATTTTCTTCTATAGTAATGAGAGTACGTTTCAATTAGCACCTAATCAAAACTAACACCAAACAGGTTGATGGAATTGAAACCAGTAGATAGCTAATTACCATGTATACAAAAATAATGCAGATGTTCCTGGTTTATTCTTCTGACAACAAGGGCGATGAACGCAGATTGCAACTAGGGACAACTTTGCGATATACGATACATAAATCTTTCGAAACTGTCATTAGACAACAGAATATCGATAAACAAGATGACGAAATATTAAACAGAATGCAGAAAGCATTCTGTAAGGAACGATAGACACAAGTTGAACAGCAGTAAAAACCTAGTTGGAGTGTCAAACTTGGTCACTGTATTAGTATGTGGTATCAAATGAGCCAGTTCCACTGGTACATCACGCATTATAGCAGCACTATTCACCGGATTAATATTCCGGGCAAAATTTGTTGTTCTGGTCATGCCAAATATGTATCCATGTATTCGAAATCAGGTTTTCAAAATTTTACTTTTCAAAGGGATAGTAAAATCCCACATATATCTGATACAGGTAGAGTCATTCCTGCTGCTTTTCAGCAAGTATTTAGCATAAGCAAGTGGACACGGAATGCAGAAATACAGACGGAGATGTAGCCTATAATAATGGTTGTACAGGAAGAATAAAAATGTCTGCAAGATGTAGATGACACAACTCTGAACACTGTTGAAAGCATCACTGGCAAGATGATCACCATCATTTGGAAGGTTTACAACAACCATGATAGCAATGGAAACGTGGAGCCACAAGCCATCCCAAAAATAGTATTTGCCAACGTGAAAGTTATGGTGGATTTGTAAACTGAAGAGATGCGGGTGTAGTTACACACGAAGCACACTGTTGGCCAGTTCCCTCAAGTTTGAACCGTCACGAACCACTCATTGTGTCGGACAATCGTCCACACACTTACTATTCAGACACGATTAACTTCTACTACCCTGTTATTATGTAGAAAGCAAACGTTTACTTGAGATAAGTACCTTGTGGAGTGTGAAACATCGATCACTGTAATCATCTAGACAAAACGACTTCATTTGTAAGTACAAGGCTGAACTTGGCATATCAGGTGGAGATGTAGCCTGTTGGACAATGTCAAGAAGGGGAGCAGATGTGGACTCAGACCATCATCTAGTTTATTGAACCTCTAAGGTCCATCTGAAATGATTCAGAACAACTGGAGATAGACCAATGTATTTCAAGTTCAATATTCAGAAACTGAAGGACAAAACCGCAAGGGATGCTTTCACAACACATCAGATCACAGCAAAGTCGGAGATACTCCATGGAAGCACACCGGAACTCTCTGAAGGCGATATTCTAGGAAATGTGTACAACTGTTCTAGGAAGACAGAAGAGACAAGACAAAGAATGCCTCTCAACGGACACCTGGAAGCTAATAGAAAAGAGAAAGATGATGAAACAGAGATGAACCAATTCAGAAACGGACAAGAGAAGGAGAAGCTAAGTTCAATGTACACTGCACTGAATAAAGAAGTGAAGAAGAGTGCTAGGAAATACGAAAGACAATTTAACAACATACTGACCGGCAACTGAAGCAGAACAGACAGGGTGCAGGTAAAAGAGACCTCAGAACATTATATCAGATAACCAGGTCATTATCCGGAAAGAGATCAACGCAGGTGAAACCAATAAAAGATGCTCAAGGGAACCTGATTATCAAGGAGGAGGAACAAATAAAACAACAACAAATCGACCATCACCCTCAATTCGTCTAGAAATACACCACCGCCACCAACATGCACAGAACTGCCTGACAATTGACACTAATCCTCTGATGAAATCAGAAACCCTGAATGCGATCAAGCAGCAGGGACAGACGGAATTTCTCTGCCCCGAAGCACTGAAAACGGACCCAGAGACTGAGATAGATGTGCTCACGTCATTATCGCAAAAGGTTTGGAAGGAAGGAAAGGTGCCTACCGATTGGAAGAAAGACTACCTTGTTAAGCCACCAAAGAATGACAACTTACGCCTCACTCTGCAAGAACTGACTGACATGGAAGAATGCTCTTCTCCACACCAAGTAAATACTAAGTCGCATCATCCTGGAGACAATAAAGGATGCACTGAATGCTGAACTCTGCAAACTCACCAGAACAAGCTGGATTCAGGGAAGGCGAATCATGTGCTGATCAAATTGCACCCCTACACATAGTCATCATAAAACAGAGCATGGAATGGCAGTCAAACCTGTACCATGACCTCATCGACTTTGGAAAGACCTTCGACAGTACTGGCGGAGAAGTAATTTGGAAACTGCTTGAACACTTCGGCATCCATAGCTCAAGTCTTCATCAACCTCATTTAACCAAAGCTATATGACAACGGCACGTGTCAGGTGATCCACAACAGGAAACTCAGCAAGGTGTTCGAAGTGAACACAGGAGTAAGATAAGGCTGATTGGCTGCCTACAATCACCGATGATATTCCTGATTGTGATGGACTGGATTATGTGTCAGATTGTTCACAGGGAGTGAAAGGCAGAAATACGCTGCACTAACTGATGGGAAGACTCTAGAAGATCTGGATTTCACGAGTTGATGATTGTTGTTTAATGTCACACATACTCGAAATCTTGCAGCCAAACAGGCAGGCGATAACCAACAAACTGGCATAAGAGGCTACCTGGCTGGTTGGCAGCGAGGACAGGACTCATCCAGGTGAACATGGGGAAGGTGGAGATGAAGGCGATGAAGACAACCAACCACCAACAACAATGACAGCAACAACAACTAGCACCAATCACCATCAACGGGAGAGATTTCACATAGGTCACTTCCTTCCTTCGCCTATCTAGCAAGTATCGCTTCAACCATTGGCGTCGTGATGGATGAAGATGTCAAAGCATGTCAGCCAGAGTCGGAAAGGCAATCAGCACACCTTCATCAAACTGAAATCAATCCGGAAATCTTCTCAGACAACGTGAAGAACAAGATTCAGTTTTTCGAAACAAATGTGAAGTCGGTCAGTCAGTTCTTCTGCATAAGTGAGAAACGTGTCTAGTGAATCACAGAAAGGATTTTCAACAGGCAGCTGCAGACTTTAATCAATAGCTGGCTCCATACTGAAGATCGAATGGCCGGCCAGCCGGTGACCCTAGAAAGACTTAGCAACGACAAACTCTTCAGTGGAACAAATCAAGGGGCCGATGAGAAGACTCTAGAAAATCTGGACTTCGTGCGCGGATGATTAATGCTATCCAGACTAGATGACTTGCGGACGATAACCAACGAACTGGCTTCAGAAGTAGGTAGTGAAAACAGGATTCCAGGTGAACATAGAAAGGACAGAGGTGATGTAGATAACCAACGAACTGCAACAACAACCAGCACCAATCACCATCAAAGGGAGAGATTTAACTAAGGTTACTTCCTTCATTTATCTGCCTAGGCAGCATTGTTTCAACCACAGGCAGAACGGATGAAGATGTTAAAACCAACCAGAATCGAAAAGGCGAGATACGCCTTCATCAATCTGAAACCACTTTGGACATCTTCGGCACTCAGCCAACGTGAAGAACAAGATTCGAATTTTAAACACAAATGTGAATTCAGTCACTTCTTTTGTACGGGTTAGAAAGATGGCGCGCGTGTCACGAAAAGCATTTCCGGCAAGCCAATGTAGACTTTTATCAACAGCTACCTCCATACTGAAGATCAAATGGCCAGCTGGCCAAAAACAATTAGCAACAAGCCAACCAAGAGCCGATCGCTCAACAAATATGTGGGAGAAAATGAGGATGGATCGGGCATATATTGAGGAAACCGTCGAATGATGTCGCGCGCAATGCACACCATCGCTCGAGTGGAATCCAAATGGGAAGCGGCGACTGGGTCATCCTGGGGTCACTTAAGGGAGAAGAGAGATTATTGACAATCATGGACCCAGATGATGAGGACACAGCCAAATAGAACAAAGTGGAGATTCGCTGCTGAAGTCATACGTTCTACTCGGAACCCAAGGACTAATAATATAATAATAATGGCCAAAATGTTAAATATTCCGTCATATAACCAAAATAGGCTCACTTCCCTCCGGTAGGTCGTGTTTATTTTTTACTCCATATTTACCCCTTTTCACCACTTTTTCGACTGTGAGGGGAGTTCCAAACCTGTGAAATTTGGATTATTCAAGGAAATATATTCTACTCCTCTAGTTTTTTTATCAGGTTTATGCAGAAATGGTACGTTCGAAAAATCCATCAAGAGCAACCATATATCATCGTTAGAAGCTTTTCTCGACTGACACAAGATATGAACCAATATTAGATGGTTAAAAATGTGGTGGCTCTAAACTATAGCAGTCCAAAAAGAAACTACCTAGTGGACGGATTGATGGTCGAGACGAATTCATTTACATAAATTGGTTTAACTTAACTATGGGGACTCCTGTGAAAAATTGGAAGCCATTTTTTAACACTGCATTACTTGTTTATAGATGTTTATTACAAAACACGCACTTTGACTTCCGACGCGATTGGTTGATCGCTAGAGGTAGTTTCTTTTTAAGCTGCTATAGTTTAGTCACCAAAAATGGTTTATTTGCAGCTTTAAACTCACTTTTCATAAATCACATTTCTTCACAACAAATTGCTGGTAGAATTCGATTGATCATCTCAAGAACAGTAGCGCACTGAACTGAAAGTAGGGAGCGCATTCTAATGTCCAATATTGTTTTTACGAGCTATTATAAACCAATTTGATTTCTTTGTGATCGCCTCTTGATTGTGAGGTAGAGGTTCCTGATCTTTGGTAAACGTCTGTGTAGCTCGTCCCGCCACCAACCGCGCGCGCTTTGAAAAAGGACAGTGGCATTTTTTACGTTGTGTAGTAAATTCTGCTTTTGTTGTTTAAACCACATCAGAAGCTTTTTAGTTCACTTTAACTAATTTATTTAGTTGAAGTGTTGTTCATATTATTCACAGTCTGTGTTTTGTTCGGTATTTACGCTTTTTTTTCACGTATATACATTTGTGTATTTGGTTGGTATAAACCTCACAGTTTTCACGTACATATATTTGTGTTGTTGAAACAAATTAGCGCTATGGGTCCGAATAACAATTGCGGACGACCGGACTGCCACTTTCCGGTGGATGATGGTATGCAGTGTGACAACTGCAGCCTATGGTTTCACAAGGTTTGCACTGGTTTGTCACCAGTAGCCTATAAGAGATGTTGCATGCCGTCATCTCCGTGGCTGTGCAAATTTTGCAGCAACCCGTTGGATGTCCTCATCCAAGAGGCAGTGGGACTCCTGATGTCCAAGAAATTGACTAAAGACGTAGTCGAGAAGCCTGTACCAGAAATCATAGCCAAAAATGGCGGTTCAGGACATAATTTTAAAACCGAAGGTGTATCGCCACCTGTAGCTCAGGGGGCAAAAGAGTCACAGAGTGCTCAAATGTCTGTAGCGACTAAGCGCAAACGGCAAAGGAAATCTAAAAGGGCGAGTAGTGCCAGCATGGCAACACCAGCCTGTGAAATGGCCACCCCAAAGCGCAGCGTGTCTAGTGCACGAATGGCCTCTAGTTGCGGCGAAAACAAAGTGGAAGAAACTGACTCCACTTGGTTGGTGCCGTCAGGTAAGAAGCAAAATAAACGAAAGAAAGAAACAGCAACCGAGTTCACCAACAAGGTCTCGATGGCTGTTAGTACCAGCCAAACTCAGAAACCTACGGACTCCAGTTACAGTGTTATCATCTGGAATTTGGAGGAATCTAAGAACACAGTTCCAGCTGCCCGACATGCAGATGATCTGAAGGCGGTCAGCTCCATAATCCGGGAAATACTTCCCAAAAAACAATTGGAGTTCACGTAAGAAAAGCCATCAGGATCGGAAAACGAAACCCTGATGCTACGGAAACTTCTCGACGACTACTTAAGATAGTTTTAGGGAATGAAACAGAGAAAAGCACCATCCTCAACAACGCGTTCAAAATTAACGATAAAAGCTTTAAAATAAGGCCTGATTGGCCTTTAGAAGATAGAATCAAAAGAAGAGAAGCCGTGGCTGAACTAAAGGCCAGACTAGAGAAAGGGGAAAAAGACCTCAAGATATTGGGTTTTCGGGTGGTGAGGTCTCGGAAACCGATGCTGCCGAGACCTCTCTTCATAAGCCGGATGAAAACGTAGGTGTCTCAGTGTGCTATACGAACGCGTGTAGTCTTAGGAATAAACTCGCCGAATTAGGAGAGTTATCTGAAAGACTACAACCTGATGTGATTGCTATCACTGAGACATGGTTGTTAGTGGGTGTAGACTTAACTCCACTCATACCTGGGTACATCTGTATTCGAGCAGATAGAGTAAGTAGTCGGAAAGGTGGTGGGGTTGCTCTATATATCCGCGATGACATAGGGATTAGGTCAACGTTGTCAGAAGCTCATGACAGCGGCACCAGTGAGGCTGCAAGTTGCGTTATTAATCTGAGCAAAGGCACTTTAACGATCGGAGTTATTTACAGAAGTCCTGCTAGCCAAGCTGATGACTTCGTTCTAAATCACTTGAGGGCGTGGGGTAGTAGAAATAGGTGTCTGGTTGTTGGCGACTTTAATGCTCCACACATTAACTGGGAGGAATTAAACTCCACTAGTCTGTATACCTGTTTCAATAGGGAGTTCACATTGACAGTGCTTGAATGTGCACTCGTGCAACATATGCATGCACCAACATGGTATCACCCGGAACATGATCCATCTACTCTAGATTTGATATTAACACACCAGAAGGAGGACGTTGGTGACATTAGGTGCCTTCCACCGCTTGGCAGCAGTGACCACATAGTCATTGCTTTTACGTTTAAGATTCATTCTCTCATACACAGGTCAAAATCTGCTCGTCCAAACATTTGGAAAGCGGATATACAAGGAATCCGGAACGCAGCAACTTCAGTTGACTGGTCAGTAGATACAAGTCGGACTGTCGAGGAAGCTTGGGTAGGATTTAGGAATACACTAGATTGTGTCACTTCACCTTTTATACCTTGGTACACTCCTCGAAAGCTATCGCACAAGCCACCTTGGATTACTAGTGAAATAAGGAGGCTATTAAGACGGCGAAAGAACTTATGGGACCAATTTATTATGACAGGAAGGGAAAATTTCCAGAAAGACCACCGCAAAATTCGAAATCTTTGTAAGTATGCGATTAACAAGAGTCGTATAGAATATGAGAGACGGCTTGTGCTAGATAGTGTTCACTACCCAAAAAGGCTCTTCTCGTATATTAAACGTAGGACTAAAACTAGCAATGGTATACCGTCACTCATAAGCATTAGTGGAGAAACGGCTGAGTCAGACGAAGGAAAGGCTGAAAACCTCTCTGAATACTTCTGTGACGTCTTCTCGTCTGATAGTACCACCCAGGGATATGGCGAGGTTACTGCCATCGCCACTCAGATGCCCTCAATTGTGGTAGAGCACACAAAAGTCCTCAAACTACTGTCTAAACTGAAACCAGGTAAATCACCTGGGCCTGATGGACTTCACCCTAAATTAATTTCCTTGGCGGATATAATATATATTCCACTCGCGGAGATTTTCCAAATGCCACTGACCCAGGCTAAGCTACCCAGGGACTGGAAGGATGCCATTATAAGCCCTATATTCAAAGAGGGGGACAGGCAATTGGTATCTAACTACAGGCCGGTAAGTCTAACATGCATTATAGCAAAGGTGATGGAAACTATTACAAGGGATCAGCTATTAGCTTACGTTGAAACACATGGCTTACTTGCAGTTGAACAGCATGGATTCCGACCAGGACGATCCTGCTTAACAAACTTACTGTTAGCTAGGGAAGATTGGGTCGAGGCCAGAGATAAAAACCTTCTGTTAGACGTGGTTTTTATTGATCTTAGCAAGGCATTCGACAAAGTATCCCACTTAGGTCTCCTTAGTAAACTTAAAGGTTTCGGACTAGACCAATGCCTATGTGAGTGGTTTAGGGATTACCTAATGGATAGAAGGCAGAAGGTTATGGTTAACGGTGTACTATCAGGGTGGAAAGCAGTATCCAGTGGAGTGCCCCAGGGAACTGTATTAGGCCCCTTGCTATTCCTGTTATACGTTAATGAGCTACCAGGGATTCTTACTTCATCTTCATTGTTATTTGCAGACGACATTAAGATATGGAAAACTGTAAACAATAGCGAGGATAGGTCGGCCCTACAAACTGATCTAGATAAATTAGCGGAGTGGTCGAACCTGTGGAGTTTGAAAATGAATTCTAGGAAAAGCGCAGTAATGCACTTAGGTCAGAAGTCTTATACGTCGTACTCCCTAGGGGACACAGAACTACCTGATGTTAACGAACAGAAGGACCTAGGAATCATTGTCAGCAATGATTTGAAAACAACTGCAAACTGCAATGCAGCCGCAGCTAAGGCTTTTCGAATGCTATGGGCACTCCGTAGGGCTTTCAAACGATTAGATGAGGGCATGTTCCAAATACTCTACGCAACATATGTTAGGCCTCATCTAGAATACTGCGTACAAGCGGCGGGTCCATGCTTCAAAAAGGAGGCATATATCCTGGAAAGAGTACAGAGAGTAGGAACGAAACTAGTTAGTGGTATCTCACACCTTCCTTATGATAAGAGGATGGAGCATCTAAATCTCTTTCCGTTATCATACCGAAGGAAGAGAGGCGACCTAATTTTGGCTTACCGTATACTTAAGGGTGATTTAGGAACTGACCTTTCTAAACTTTTCTCTCCTTCTAGGATACATTTACGGGGTCACCGCAAAAAGGTGCTCAAACCGAGGACGATTAAAATACGTGCAGAATTTAGATTCTCTCATAGAGTGGTCAACGACTGGAACTCCTTACCTGATTCAGTAGTAACAGCTCCATCGGTGAACGCTTTCAAAGAGAAGTTAGATCTCTGCAGAGACATATTTTGCAAGGATTAACACAGGCCACAAGAGCCTTCTATCCTTATCAACTGAATCTGAATCTGTCGTAGCTTTGGTTGACTCCAGCAGGAGTAGTGCTGGGGTTAATTATATGGGGTTTGTAGTATGAAGTGTGTTAAGACTGTTACTACTGTGAATGGAGTTGATCCTTTCACCAGTTAGTCTTTCCGTATCGTCGTCAATGGAAAAGAGGTAATAATAATAGATATTGTTATGTATGTGAATATGAGGACCTTGTAGACTACGAGCGAATCTAACTAGTGCGCTGGCTAATCTGTCTTAATCGCACGTCAACAACGACAACAATAATACCGCCGGGCACGCAAGACAAATAAAAGAGAAGACTGGACGTTGATATGAGAGCTTTTACTGTCTCAAACAACAGTCGAATATGTTAAACAACAACTCCGTATTTATACAATTAGAAAAATCAATGTCACCTTTTAAAAATATTAACGACCTTGGGGATTCAGTAATTTAAATCAATAATCACGCAGATGCGTGAAATCAATGATTATGCTAATGTGTGAAATAAATAATGAATATTAATGATTCCCCTGCGTATATATTAGATATAAAAAAGGGATGCGTCGGCCGGAGTTCGAACCCCGGACCATGTGTATGGTCGGCGAGCGTCCTAACCGCTATGCCACCGACGCATTGTAGACTTGAATTTTCAATTGAGCATAAAAAGCCTATGTTAATATGAAATATCGGTTTTACGAGCTAGTTTAA